TCTAATGAGTCGATGAGTCACTCGAACGAGTAAATGAGTCACTCTTATGAGTTGATGAGTCACTCGAATGAGTTGATGAGCCATTCTAACGAGTTAATGAGTCACTCAAGTGAGTAATGTGTAGTCACTCGAGTGAGTAAATGAGGAATGTGTCACTCTTATGAATTGATGAGTCACTCGAATGAGTCGATGAGCTACTTATATGAGTAATGAGTCACTCTTATGAGTTGATGAGTCACTCGAATGAGTAAATGAGTCACTCGAATGAGTAAATGAGTAACAACTCGAATGAGTAAATGAGCTTCACGAATGATTCGATGAATTTAAATGAGTACTGAGTCACTCTGATGAGTTCATGAGTTACTCGAATGATTGAATGAGTCACTCTGATGAGTTGATAAGTTACTAGAATGAGTAATAAGGCACTTGAATGAGTAAAAGAATCACTCGAATGAGTCAATGAATTACTCAAATGAGTAATGAGTCACTCGGATATGCAAATATGAGTTACTCTTATGAGTTGATAAGTCACTCGAATGAGTCAATGAGCAATGAAAATCTAGCTTGAGTCAATACGTAACTCGGATGAGTCAATGAGTCACTCGAACGAGTCAATGATCGACAGACCGCCATTATATTTACCCAAAATGCCCAACTTTTTAAAACATACGTTGGTGTTGCTGTATGCACTTGTCCTATCATCAGCAATGTGCCTGGTTTCATTGTTATTTCGGGTCTTTCAACATTGTATACCGCTCTACCAGGTGACCCCACCAGAGTGGTGTGAGACAAGTGTGTGCTATTCAAGCTAAATACTTCTTATTAGTGTCTTATTTTGTTTTCCAGTTATCTGCTCGTTTGATCCAGATCCATTTTGATGCTTCCTCTGCTGATCTTGTGATACTTCCAATTTCTCTCTTTCTTGAATTGCCATTTATCCCTAAAATCCATAATGTTCTCCAGAGTGATTGTCCTGCGAAACCTCGACAGCCAACTTCTACTGGTTCACACCTGGCGGTGTATCCCTTATTTCTACACTGCTCCACTAGTTCTGCGTATTTTTCCCTCTTCCTTTCTTGAGCTTCTTGAATATTTTTCTCCCAAGGCACTGTCAGTTCAATTAATACTATGTGTTTTGATACTTGTGACATTAATACAATATCTGGTCTGAGAGAACTCTTCTGGGAATTTCAGCTGTTTTTCTAAGTCTACCATCAGGTTCCAGTCATTTGCTGTGTGTAATATTCCAGTTGGCTTCTTTACTTCCTTTGTTGTGTCCTCTCCAGCTTTAACGAAGTTAATATAACGAGTTCCCTGTTTCTTGTGTTTTTTCCTCATTTCTGTGTCGATGACTTGTGCTATTTCTTTCAGTACTTGGTCGTGTCTCCATCTGAATCTTCCATCTGATAATCCTTTGCTACAAGCTGTCATAATGCCGTATTTTATCACGTGAGTTCAGAGTGACATGCACGACATGTAAGTTTAGTCTGAGCTGATCGCGATGTTGAACAATTTCTTCTCGGAATTTGTCCAGAGAAATCAGCGATTCTAAATTAAGGTAGGATCTCCCATTTCTTCCTGTACAAGTTTTAACTTTTCTCTATCGAATCCTAAAGTTTTGGATGAAGATATGAAGCATACGGTTAAAAACGAAGCGATTAATTTGACGATCTGATTTTGCAATTTGCAATGGCCAATTTACTGCAAGTCTGCGTGTATTTGACAAGAGATAGCGCCAAGTCTTGTATCCGAATGCTTGTTAAGCCACTCAAAAACAAGATCCATATTTTCTAAAGGACGATTCTCGGTTTGGAGAACGAAGTTCATCAATCTAAATGAGCATTATCCCTGCTTCGGACAAATTTGATTTTTTTACATAATATAGATTTGAATGTCCTCTTTTGAATAGTCATAATTTAATTTGGGTAATATTTCTAGATTTTTCGCAAAAAAATATTAGCGCAGTACACTTATGAACTTTTTTCCCAAAATCGAGACTTGTATTTTATTGAATCGGTCTAATTGAGCGTTATCCCTGCTTCAGACCAATTTGTTATTTTTACATCTTGTAGATTCAAATGTCCTCTTTTGAATATTCATAGTTTAATTTGGGTAATATTTCTATATTTTTCATGAAAAAAATATTAGCCCAGAAGACTGTTCTCCAAACCGAGAATCGTCCTTTGATAACTTTGCAGAGAGCCCGTTTTCATAACCTGTTTTCCGCGTCTAAATTCAAACTGAGTAGGATTATAGGATCGCTGGGATTCTCAGTCAATGGCAACGGGTCTTCATTCCAGAACGCACATTTTTTTAGTTGATTCTCCGTCATAGTACTTGTCTAAAGTCCATATCTGCTCTTTTACTGGCATACTTGGACATATTTCCCCTCCTTAAATTGTCCTCCTTAAATAACACCCTCTCGCCGATTTATATATAGCCATTTCCCAGAACCCGGGAGTCAGAATCGCTGATGTTTGCCATATTGAACATGTTGAAATATGTACTGTAATATCTGTAATACTAGGCATTGCCTGCTACGCGTAAGGGTCACGTGACTAGCGCGATACAGGAAAAATGGGGAATTTCGAAACAACAATTTTTGGGCACTTTTATTGCAAATTTCAGGTATTTATAAGTGTTTGTGGTATAAAATATAATCCACAGATATACATGAACATCCAAACTACATATTTTATTACGTTTTGGAGCCTTTTTTGCTTTTAAAATGACATCTTTAAGTTTGACATCCCTCCGCATAATGGCCACTGACTGTGCACTATCGGCTAGCCCCATGGTGACTAGATTAGTTGGAGTTGGTAACACATCATATGTTGCTTTTAGCAGAAAGCTAATAGTTTGTGGCTGCTCCTTCCATAAATCATTCCACGTTAGCTTTCTTTCTCTGACGCCTTCCCATTTCATCCATTTGCCTTGTTTCTTCATCTCAATAGCCTTAACTCGTCTTTCTTCCTCAAGACTCTCCCTTACCTCTTGCTGTATTAGGTCTCTCTTCTCGCGATCTGATGCTTCGTTCCAGAGTGGTTTACTACCGAATCCTAAACCCTGTCTTCCTTTGGCTACCCTCCCCACCAAAACCTTTTGCTCGAGCCTGTCCTCTGCTCTTGTTAGCTCCTCTTCAGCATTCCACTTCCTCCCAGTCTTCTCCTGGGTGCTGCTCTTGGAAATCTTGTTGTCTCTGGCGTTCCTTATCATTAAATTTTCCTGACTTTGGTGACCTTGTATTCTTCTGTCATTGCTTTGATTGGTAGGTGGAGCATGTTTGATTCTCCATAGAATCCTGCACTACTGAAGCTTTTTGGTACTCCGAACCACTTGCGAAGATACTTATTTGTTTTCCTTTCTAACATCTCGACTGTTGTCATTGGCACTGCATACACAAGCAGTTCTTAACTTTCAGATATAGAAATATCCCTGAAAATGACCGTGAGTTGTATGTAGAATGTAACATTTTATTCACTATAAGATTACACCATATGATCCAAAAATATGTTTTTCATTTTCATGGATAATCCACACAGATTAACACCCGGGTATTTTATTTCTAGAACTTCACAGTGCTTGGAATCATTGTTACGAGGTCTTTGAATAACAAGAATATCGTATTGAATAGGTTTTACTTATGGGAATACTTGCTTAAAGTCTCTCAGTGGTACCAAATCTAAAAAAATCATTTATGATCTTATGTCGCTGCGCTCAAGCGCACATAAATGTCAAGTAACCATTATACAACAAACTAGAGGAACTGTCCTGGTTCTCATGAATTAGACTCCTAATAACAAACCATTCAAAGTCACATAATCTAATATTTTGATATATTAGAAAAACAAAATACAAAATATCTGTTTCAGAATATCACCACAAAATGAACAGGAGCAAAATAAGTTAGTATGTTGTTTCACTTGATCAGAGAAATAAGATCAGATTACACCATTTTGCATTAAGAAATCCAAATTTTCTTTTGGGAGAACCCCAACCGACCCATCCCCATGATTCGCCCTTGCAGATACCAAAAGTTTTCCAGCAATGTTCCATTCTCCTCGGTCCACCCATGGGCATTCAATAGAGGTCCACCTGAAAAAGATTCTTCTGCCGCACACTGGGTGGGGCTAGAATACATGGGAATGTATCGGGAAGAGTCACTTAATTTCATGATCTAACAAGTAATTCAATTTGGATCAACTTAAAACACCATTGGAATGTAACCATATGATCTTATTGACATGTGGATTGTGATTTCACATTACAACTGTGATCCTTATGAGAGTAAATGAACTTTTAAAGGTTTTTCAACATTGTGTCAATGGGGATTTAGCCCGACCTTTTTTAGGCAACTAGAAAATCTTTAGAATTTGAATAAAGGTAAGTAACGGTGCAAATCAAAGTTGTTTTGATAGAAAATTATACACAGACACAGAATTCAAATATGCGATCAAATAGAAGAAAATGTCTTCAATGGTTAAAAATGCAGATCTCATTAGCCTAAAAACAAGACTTTAACGAGATTTATGGAAAAGAACCATTGTGCGCCATTTTTGGTGTTTTAGGCTCTTTTCAAGGAGGATTGGCTCCCAGAGTGCAACATCGATATTTTTGCCATATATGGCATGTTGTGATTACAAAATTCGAATGAAACAGCCCCCATTTTGTTCACTTCAACATTTGAATCGTGAATTTCGGTCTTATTTCCAAACGAAAAATTCCAAAACTCAGAGCGTAGATCCGACGAGAAGACCGTCAGCAGAGAATTACTCCCAACCACACCAGTGACGGGGATATCCAGGTGCCCAGGTATTTTACCAGTATGTTAATAGCCCGGGGTTAATCGTAACATCTGGGTAAAATATTTGGATACAAATAGACCTCCTTCTTGATGAAAATAAAAATTTGCTCCGACGGAAGTTCATCCATTTTGGTAAAAAGCGGCGTCTTTATATACAGGTGGGGACCAGTCCCCCTTAGTTCTTTAAACAGTTGGTTTAGTTCAATGGCTTTATCTGTGCTGCAACCACGAAGTCATCTTCCACCTTTGTGAAGTATGCTTTCCCCTCATATTCAAAGTTCTTGGCAGGAACTCTAACAATTGTCTTCCATCCAAACTCTAATTCAGCTAGTGCCTGCAAATAGGAAGCAAAAAAACATATCATAGATCAATTACTACTTAGCAGTAGTAATAATTAGTAGTTGATAAGTAAGTTCACATTTCACGACCCAGCAAAGGAAGTTGACTTTCAGCTGGTTCACTCTAGACAACATAATATCAAACGATTCAAAAGATCCCAAAGTTAGCTGTCCTTAATTTGAATGTATTACTTACTATAGTCACGGGGTGTGTGTTGACTGTTATAAGACCAGTGTATCCCAAACTCCTTGCAACCCGCATTGTTTCCACCTCGAGCATATGTATCAGTCGGATATTCTCAGCATCAGAAACGTATTTTGCAGTGGCCACCGAACCTGACCACAACCACTTACCACCAAGCTCAGCAATTGCCTTCCTTGCTGGTTCCTCAGCTTGCATTACCAAAGCAGCTATAGGATACAGTAATTCTGGTTCAACTGCAACTTCGTAGTCGAGTTCAGAGCTGAGTAGCATTCCAGCAGCAACAACTTTACCAGTGACTCTGTTTACGACTCCCATGGAAATATTATCTTGTTCCAAAATTGGCCAGAATGTTTTCAGATGATGCATGTATTGCTCAAATGTACATCCAACATCAATGATCAGCAAATCTTTTCTAATGAAGGCATCAGAGAGAACGACCATCGCTTGGTCTTTATAGTTAGAATTTGTACAGATGTTAACCAATTCATATGTATCAGTGTCTATGACAGACGCTGGGACATTGTTGTCTTTCTTTTGCCTCAGTGTTTCAATAAGATCATGAAGGCTGGATGAGCCTAGAAAATCTGCAACCGTTAGCAAGACTCCTTTCGATTTCATATCAGCTATTGTGTACATAGCGTTTGCTGATGTCCCTCCATTCTGAAAGAAATCTTTTGTGATTATGAGTTTGGTCACCGGAATTTCGATGACCTTTGCAACAGACTCCAATACCTTCATACCAAACTCGTCTTGTTTATATTGATGTAGTATTGTATTACTTTCTACGACTGTTTCATTGAACTTGTTTTCGTACATTGCCTTCAATGCCATTCGGTCAATTTTCCCGGCAATCGCTTGAATAGGAAATTTATCAATTTTCTCAAAGTGCGGCATCATGTACGTTGGAAGATATTGTGAGCAGAATTCAGTAACTGATTCAACGCTGGCTTCTTTTTCCTCGATAGCAGTGTAGAAAGCTACTAACGTTATCATACCACTGACAGAGTTATGAACTATAGTTGTGGCCTGGTCAACTCCAGGATGACTCTGCATGACACTTTCAAGTTCTGAGACATTTACTCTGTATCCCCGGATTTTCACCTGAAAATCTCTTCGACCTTGGTAGAATATTCTCCCATCTACTATCTTTCCAAAATCTCCCACTCTGAACAGAAGTTCATGGCCTTGGCTTGGTAGGACTGTATTTTTGACAAACACGTTCATTCTGCTTGTATCAGTATAGCCAGTTGATAAGCAAACTCCACTGCATAACACTTCTCCAATCTCACCCATGGGTACTGGCTCTAACTTCTCATCAACGATATACACATTCGTATTGTATATTGGGACTCCAATCGACATGATGTGATCATTCGTTTTTTTCTCAGCATCTTCCAACGATGAGAATATATCGATGGTAGTATCGCCCGCTGTCTCCGTGCAGCCATAACCGTTAATGAGGGTGTGTCCATCAGAGAAATAACTGAAGAAATCTCGAACGAGAACACTTGGTACAACCTCACCTCCGAGGATGATAAATTTGAGATGGGACAAGCGGTTCTTGATGGAATGCATATTGAGACAGACCAACATATTTCGCAAAAGGACCGGAACACAGGCTAGTCTGGTGATGTTATATTGCTCAATTGCTTTGATCAACATCTCGGGATCTTGTTTCACCGCCTGTGGTAAAATAATCAAGGGTCGTCCCTTCAGTAACCATGTGTACATTTCCCTAATTGAATCCACAAACAACAAGTCTAACAAGGCACATCCAGTCTCATCTTGCTTGAATGGGGTTTTATCCCAGTAATAATTGACTATGTTCAGCTGACTGTCATGGGTCAGCTTCACTCCTTTTGGGGTGCCGGTGCTTCCCGAGGTGAACAGTGTGCAAATCAGTGGATTTTCCCCCGTAAGACCATCTTTCATTGGGGCAAAATCGGCATCAGTCAAATTGGTATCTTCAACAGTTGTACAAGAGTCAGCTTCAATTTCATCAAGTATCGAGTCTATGTTAAACACAGGGACTGCTTGGATGGTCGGATTGTTTGCATTAGATCCACATGCAAATATGCAAATCGGTTTGCCTTCATCCAATATGTACTGCAAACGTTTTGGAGGAAAGACAGAACTCATAGGGACATATGCACCTCCAAGTTTCAGTATGCTGATTAAGGCGATCACTCGTCTTGCACTGGGTTCCATAAACACGGATATTGTTTTGTCTGGAGAATTCAACACTTCTATACCGTTATCCACCATTCGTTTCAGTACAATTCGAGCAACCATATTCGCCCTTTTGTTGAGCCGTCCAAATGTCAGAGTTTCCTCCCCAAATCGAACAGCCATTTGATTTTCAATTGGTTTCATTCCATTTGATGTTTCAATTGTGCCTTTAACAGTGTTTTCAAATACTTTATGAATGAAGTCACCCGCGTTATCATTCTCCTCTCCCTTTAGGATACTAAGTTGTCGTTCAGACATCTGCAAACAAAAGAATGTTAAAATATTAGAATATATTGGTTAATCCATTCACACATAGCTAGGCAAGGTGTGTCCGATTCCAGCCAATCCGTACACAGTATTTCATTATAACTGACTGCATTATATAACCAATGACGACACCCAATGTGATTCGTTGAATGGTTGTCACGGTGACAACTTGACTCTACAGATTGAAATTGATGCTTTGCAAACTTGACCCTTGCAAAAAGTTTCATTGAAAATATGTTCTTTCGGTAGTGATTTCGTATCTTTTAGAAAAATTGAAATGTGTGAAAATAATTTAAGCCCGAGACTTGATGCATTGTGGCTGATTCATTCCACTCAGCAGAAGTTGTTATGATTTGTAAACAACAATTAAGAGGAATGAATCAGTCCACAAGGACTAAATCCTTAAACTAATTAATCATAATATTATAAATTATTTGCATTGTTTGAACCGTTTCTACATGTGGATATGACATCCTTAATGTGAAACGCACTCATATTGTACAAAACATTTTTTGTGCGTCAAATATTCAAACCTAAAAATAAGCAACCAAAACTACACAGTACACTATTATATGGAAAAAATACATTCATGGTTTTCATATTAAGTTATATATAATATATATAATTTGTAAATGAAGAAACATGTTGGAATAATTTCTCTGCCTTTGTTTCGTTTTTTTATTATATTTAGTACGTACGCATTTTGACTTTTATACACATAATATATATATAATATACAGGGTGTTATTTTCGAAAGATTGTCAATTGGCTGAAAACCCCTAAATTAAAATGAATACATGCTTACTGCAAAGCACTTCGATCAAATAAAACTAATTTATCTGGATTACATACATATATACAGGGTGTTCCATATGTATTTGTACATAAAATCATACATGTAGCATTGCCACCCTATCATGCTGAATATCATATTTGTTCCTTATGGAAAGTTACATAACATTGCAAGTTTCAGAATCCATGGAAGTCCCTGAAAAAGATACAAGGTATCAAAGTTAGTGGGTACAGGTCATTTCGAAGAGAATTTCTGGTCATTTTGAGGGCAATTAAAAGGGAAAATTAAGTTTCTGTATTGCACATTTTTTAGCAGTTGCCATCATGTCAGAGTTCAGTTCACACAAGTGTGATAGTTATTCACAAAGACATATAGATAGATTTCATGCAGTGGCTTATAGGGAGATTAGGGACCGTGGTGCGACCTCTATCACTAAAAATGGGTATGAGACAAAGTGAACAGATCACCGGATTGAGTCCAAAAATAACCAGAAGTTACCCTCGAAATGACCCCGTACCAACAAACTTTGATACCTTGTATTTTTTTAGGGACACCCATGGATTCTGAAACTTTGCAATGTTATGTAACTTTCCATAAGGAACAAAGTGATACATAACACGATAGGGTGGCAATGCTACATGTATGAGTTTATGGGGGGTGCATACATATGAAACACCCTGTATACATCTGTATCCAGACAAATTATTTGAAGGGCTTTGCAGTTAGCATGTATTCATTTTAATTTAGCGTTTTCCAGTCAATTGACAATCTTTCGAAAATAACATGTCAGAAAAGCATCAAAATACAAGTGGCAACGCATTTTATTGGCCAAACCACAAGCAATCCAAAATATACAAACGTTAGACTGCATCCGAAATATGAATGTAATTTTTCTCTATAATATGCTGCCGTGGAATTCGGATTTTAATATAAAGTTACTCACCTTTACAAAGTTTATTCTCACAAATCCTAACAGTATTCAAAGTTAGCTCAAACCCAAAATACGTATGTAATTATGAAACAATCACAAAGCAATGTACAATGTTCAAAGTAGTGGTTAACAATATCATATGTACATATTATTACGTAAGGTTAGTATATATGATAAAAGTGTACACTGCAGGTTTAGGTTCAGTGACCAGTTCATCAAGAAGGGTGAAAGAAAGTTGAACATCATAGTCATTCCAGTTTTTCTTTTTCTTTGCCAACCACACCATTTTCCTGCATTTGTTATTCTACAATTGACTTGCAATGTCAGCCATTATAAATCTCCGAGTCTGTCGTGTCAATGACAAAACTTCCGAGGGAGGGTGTATTTCAAATTCTAAATGGGACTAAATGATTATCTCAACCATTATCAGGTGATGTTATAAAGGTGCCAGATAATAATTGCATAAAATATTCACATATACGATAAAGTGGAAGGCGATCATTCTGATAGTAACATTTTCTGTTTGGCTAAGATTTAATTACCCTGCGTGCAGAGTCTAGTTAAACTACAATTAGACGAAGCTCTCTTTTAAGAAGTGAAGTCAAACGAATGCAAAGGGTAAGATTTAATTTAAGCCCATCACGACTCTTTGAATTGTGAAATATATTAAGCACGAGGGTCAGGGGCGTAGCCAGCTTTCAGGCAGGGGGGGTGCGATCGCCGAAAATTTTTCAGTTTTCGGTCAGGGAGGGTGCGATTTTGCCATAAGCAACACAAAAAATTAAGATTTCTTTTGAATTTTACAAAAATTGATGCAACTTCCTTCAAAATTGAGCTAGAAGCTTCAAATAAAAAGCATTTTTAAAGCTCTTTTCTACCTCTATCCAATAGTCATATTTTCAAAGGTTATGGGGGGGGGTGCGATCGCACCCATCGCACCCCCCCTGGCTACGCCCATGAGGGTCTTGTATGAGACTGAATGGTAGTACCAGAGAGCCCGTGATTGAGGGCGGTAGCACATTGTACTTGCTCGCTAACTATTTTCCTTATTCAATGATTATCATTCTTACCAAAAAACCTTTTGGGCCCGGGTTTTTGGGCCTCCGTACAATGCTAATTACATCCTTATTCCGAACACTCTCCCCTTTGCTATGGTACATGTACAGGGTGTCCCGAAAGTATGACCCCCCCCCCCCCCCTAGGCAGACATATACCAATGTTGTCATAGTATGTGTCATATATCATTTTAAAGCTTACCCAAAGTTACATTGATTCGCCAAGTATCATGGTTCAACTCTCAAATGTGAAAAAATTACAGGCATTTCAAAATTTAGAGTTTGGTCAAAATTAAGTTCAATTTTCCACCAAATCGATAGTCAATGTGTCCTCTCGGGCCATTTTAACAGCAGCAATTTTTTTCAGGTCGGATGGATATTGAGTTGGAAAAAGAGAATGGTAAGGGTAGAAAATCTAAGGAAACTCTTCTAAAGTGCCTCAACAGGTTTTAAGAGGGTTATAAAATTCCACACCCCTATTTGAAGGGCTTTTAAGGTCATAACTGAAAAGAATTGCTTGTGTTAACATGGTCAAGGGGGGACTCATTGACTAGTAATGTGATGTAAAATTGAACTTTATTTTGACAAAACACCAACTTTTAAAATGACTGTAACTTTTTCCCATTTGGGAATTAAACCATGATACTTGGCAAATCAATGTAACTTTGGATAAGCTTTAAAATGATATATGACACATACTATGAGGACAGTGGAATATGTCTGCCTAGGGGGGGGGGTCATACTTTCGGGACACCCTGTATATTCAAAACCTGGGACAAATAGCGTCATTCCGAGGCTTTTTGACTCTCACTTGTTCTACTATTACAAACAGGCGTCGGACAGGTGTATGGGTGTAATGCATGCTTCAGGGCCGTCGGTAAATTTTCATAATATTCATATGAAGCCCTTGAGGTAAATAAACAACTGACAGATATGAATAAACAATCATGGCTCACGCACATCAATGATGTACTTAAATATATTTACAATGGTACTTCACCGAACTATTTAAACTTAAAACCAAGAGAAATTAAGAAATTACTGGAAAATAGATACATACAATTTTGGGAAACTAAAATAAAATCAAATAATGGTAAATTGAGGTTTTATAAGATAATAAAAGCAAAATGGAACAAGGAACCCTACTTGGATTTAATCAAAAATGAAATAGACAGAAATAACTTGACAAAGCTAAGAATTAGCGCACATAAATTAGAAATCGAAACAGGTCGTTACACAAAACCAATTACCCCTATTGAAGAAAGAAAATGTTTAATGTGTAACAAGAAAACCGGTTCAGAATGTCATTACCTATTAGAATGCAATAAGTTAAAAGATGTTCGGTCAAGTTACATGGATAAAATAAAAAAACACTGTCAAAATTTAGAAAACATGAATAACGTGGAACATAAATTAATGTTTCTATTTAATTCAGAGGGAATAATATTAAATATACTAGCAAAATATATATCTAATATTTTTATCGAGAGAGAAAAAAACACGAAATGCATCCAATAAAATCTTGCAATGATCAAGCACCCTTTGATTAGTTAATATACTATATAGATATGGTCATTTGATTATCTTTACTCAATAGAATTTTTAATTGGACTATAGCACTGTTCCACAACTGGATGACTCTAACTGCAGTTAGCTTCATTCAAGATGGTTGCCGAGATTCTTTCGTTTTCGATAAACCTCCGATTTCAGCTAAACTAAGTTGAATCTTGATTCCAAAAGTTTCGCCATGCAAATTAATAAAACTATGATTGTATTCAACCACAAATGAATGCTCTAACACCCATAATATTAGAGAATTTTAAAGAAAACGACTTCACTTAGAATGACTCTAACTGAAGTTGATGATCTACGCCATCATGACGTCATCATCAACTTCAGTTAGAGTCATTCTAAGTGAAGCCGTTTTCTTTAAAATTCATTTTAATTTAGCGTTTTCCAGTCAATTGACAATCTTTCGAAAATAACATGTCAGAAAAGCATCAAAATACAAGTGGCAACGCATTTTATTGGCCAAACCACAAGCAATCCAAAATATACAAACGTTAGACTGCATCCGAAATATGAATGTAATTTTTCTCTATAATATGCTGCCGTGGAATTCGGATTTTAATATAAAGTTACTCACCTTTACAAAGTTTATTCTCACAAATCCTAACAGTATTCAAAGTTAGCTCAAACCCAAAATACGTATGTAATTATGAAACAATCACAAAGCAATGTACAATGTTCAAAGTAGTGGTTAACAATATCATATGTACATATTATTACGTAAGGTTAGTATATATGATAAAAGTGTACACTGCAGGTTTAGGTTCAGTGACCAGTTCATCAAGAAGGGTGAAAGAAAGTTGAACATCATAGTCATTCCAGTTTTTCTTTTTCTTTGCCAACCACACCATTTTCCTGCATTTGTTATTCTACAATTGACTTGCAATGTCAGCCATTATAAATCTCCGAGTCTGTCGTGTCAATGACAAAACTTCCGAGGGAGGGTGTATTTCAAATTCTAAATGGGACTAAATGATTATCTCAACCATTATCAGGTGATGTTATAAAGGTGCCAGATAATAATTGCATAAAATATTCACATATACGATAAAGTGGAAGGCGATCATTCTGATAGTAACATTTTCTGTTTGGCTAAGATTTAATTACCCTGCGTGCAGAGTCTAGTTAAACTACAATTAGACGAAGCTCTCTTTTAAGAAGTGAAGTCAAACGAATGCAAAGGGTAAGATTTAATTTAAGCCCATCACGACTCTTTGAATTGTGAAATATATTAAGCACGAGGGTCAGGGGCGTAGCCAGCTTTCAGGCAGGGGGGGTGCGATCGCCGAAAATTTTTCAGTTTTCGGTCAGGGAGGGTGCGATTTTGCCATAAGCAACACAAAAAATTAAGATTTCTTTTGAATTTTACAAAAATTGATGCAACTTCCTTCAAAATTGAGCTAGAAGCTTCAAATAAAAAGCATTTTTAAAGCTCTTTTCTACCTCTATCCAATAGTCATATTTTCAAAGGTTATGGGGGGGGGGTGCGATCGCACCCATCGCACCCCCCCTGGCTACGCCCATGAGGGTCTTGTATGAGACTGAATGGTAGTACCAGAGAGCCCGTGATTGAGGGCGGTAGCACATTGTACTTGCTCGCTAACTATTTTCCTTATTCAATGATTATCATTCTTACCAAAAAACCTTTTGGGCCCGGGTTTTTGGGCCTCCGTACAATGCTAATTACATCCTTATTCCGAACACTCTCCCCTTTGCTATGGTACATGTACAGGGTGTCCCGAAAGTATGACCCCCCCCCCCCCTAGGCAGACATATACCAATGTTGTCATAGTATGTGTCATATATCATTTTAAAGCTTACCCAAAGTTACATTGATTCGCCAAGTATCATGGTTCAACTCTCAAATGTGAAAAAATTACAGGCATTTCAAAATTTAGAGTTTGGTCAAAATTAAGTTCAATTTTCCACCAAATCGATAGTCAATGTGTCCTCTCGGGCCATTTTAACAGCAGCAATTTTTTTCAGGTCGGATGGATATTGAGTTGGAAAAAGAGAATGGTAAGGGTAGAAAATCTAAGGAAACTCTTCTAAAGTGCCTCAACAGGTTTTAAGAGGGTTATAAAATTCCACACCCCTATTTGAAGGGCTTTTAAGGTCATAACTGAAAAGAATTGCTTGTGTTAACATGGTCAAGGGGGGACTCATTGACTAGTAATGTGATGTAAAATTGAACTTTATTTTGACAAAACACCAACTTTTAAAATGACTGTAACTTTTTCCCATTTGGGAATTAAACCATGATACTTGGCAAATCAATGTAACTTTGGATAAGCTTTAAAATGATATATGACACATACTATGAGGACAGTGGAATATGTCTGCCTAGGGGGGGGGGTCATACTTTCGGGACACCCTGTATATTCAAAACCTGGGACAAATAGCGTCATTCCGAGGCTTTTTGACTCTCACTTGTTCTACTATTACAAACAGGCGTCGGACAGGTGTATGGGTGTAATGCATGCTTCAGGGCCGTCGGTAAATTTTCATAATATTCATATGAAGCCCTTGAGGTAAATAAACAACTGACAGATATGAATAAACAATCATGGCTCACGCACATCAATGATGTACTTAAATATATTTACAATGGTACTTCACCGAACTATTTAAACTTAAAACCAAGAGAAATTAAGAAATTACTGGAAAATAGATACATACAATTTTGGGAAACTAAAATAAAATCAAATAATGGTAAATTGAGGTTTTATAAGATAATAAAAGCAAAATGGAACAAGGAACCCTACTTGGATTTAATCAAAAATGAAATAGACAGAAATAACTTGACAAAGCTAAGAATTAGCGCACATAAATTAGAAATCGAAACAGGTCGTTACACAAAACCAATTACCCCTATTGAAGAAAGAAAATGTTTAATGTGTAACAAGAAAACCGGTTCAGAATGTCATTACCTATTAGAATGCAATAAGTTAAAAGATGTTCGGTCAAGTTACATGGATAAAATAAAAAAACACTGTCAAAATTTAGAAAACATGAATAACGTGGAACATAAATTAATGTTTCTATTTAATTCAGAGGGAATAATATTAAATATACTAGCAAAATATATATCTAATATTTTTATCGAGAGAGAAAAAAACACGAAATGCATCCAATAAAATCTTGCAATGATCAAGCACCCTTTGATTAGTTAATATACTATATAGATAATTAGTTAAGCTTTTTCATTTTTTTTCTGTTTAAGCTGTACACTTTGCCCAAATGTGGGATACAAGTATAATAAAGCTCATAATAATATGATGATGGGGTGGTGACCTGATTCACAACCGACAAAACACAATCAAACACAACTAGTACCAAATTAACACAATACAAATTAATAAAATACAATCTGGCACAACCAACTAAAAACCAACATAACACAACTAGGCACAATCTGTTGTACGACCAATAAAACACGACCAAATAGGGACACGGACCATGTTATGTTCCATGTAAAGAACATAACATGGATTACCACCATACTCATGAGTTCGAACATCAGCAGCTATTATATGATTGACTTTGACACATGATCAGATAGTAAAATAGAGAAGGTCTACAACAGGACTGGGATGTACAAGTTTGTTAATTTAACAATGCTACTTTAAAAAGATGGCAGCACTTCTGTATATTATATATGGGCGTAACCCGGAAGTAATAACAATTGACCTTGACATGTTTCCAGATGAACAAAATACAAAATCAATTTAGAATTTTCTCCAATATCTCCAAAATGCAGAGGATATTTGTTTATGGTACCTTGAAAAAAGGTCAGCCTAACCATAAGTTCATCGCTGATGCTGAGAATGGAAGTTGTATTTTTATAGGAACTGGGAGAACAGTAGACAAGTGGCCACTTGTAATTGCTTCAAAGTACAACATTCCCTTTTTACTGGACAATAAAGGGCATGGGAAGGTAAAGAATCTGTTATGGTCTAAAAGAAAAATATTCTCTACGTGTTTGATAAATACACTGTAACATGCAATTGATCATTTTGAATGAACTTTAGCAATTGTAAAAATGGACATAAAGAAACTGCACATGCTATCTATTGCAAGACTTATGCCTACCACAACCGTCGCCATGTAAATCAGTGTTTTTAAGTAGCGCAAGGATCCTACCATGACCGTGGTAGTGTTATCGTGTAAGCCTGGTATAACCGTGACAGGCTGGTATAACCGTGACAATGCTGTATTATATTGCAAGGCCTGTCATGATCCTGGAAGTGTTATCTGGAAGCCTGGCGCGACCGTAGCCTTTATTGTGGTTTATAAGCGAACGTGAATATTAATGTATAGTAGTTATTTTGATTTTGACATGATTAAGGTAGTTAAACCCCATGATCATAGTATTAAACTGTTTAATTGTAATGACGATCACTTAAAATTATTAAGGATATTCCTGGCATTAATGTCATACATATTTACTAGTCATTGCAATACATTATAACGGTCATAGTAGGACTAAGCCTAAAGTTCTACATTACCACCCTCATACCTGGCCTTGCAATACTATATTACATTGTCACGGTCATACCAGGCTTTGCGATCCCATAATACATCGTCATGGTCATGCCAGGTTTTGAAATACACATTCTCACGGTCACTTATAGCAATTATAAATTTCTACATTACCACTCTCATACCCGAACTTGGAATACTATATCACATTGCCACGGCGGTCTTACCAAGCCTTGCAATACTATATTACATTGTCACGGCCATGCCAGGCCTTGCAGTACTATATTACATTGCCACGGTCATGCCAGGCTTTGCAATACACATTGTCACGGTTATAGCAGTCCTAATCGTAAATTTCTACATTTCCACTCTCATACCTGAACTTGCAATACTATATTACTATACATTGTCACGGCCATGCCAGGCCTTGCAGTACTATATTACATTGCCACGGTCATGCCAGGCTTTGCAATACACATTGTCACGGTTATAGCAGTCCTAATCGTAAATTTCTACATTACCACTCTCATACCTGAACTTGCAATAATATATTACATTGTCACGGCCATGCCAAGCCTTGCAGAACTATATTACATTGTCATGGTCATGGCAGGCATTGCAATATAATACAGCATTGTCGCGGTTATACCAGGCTTTCACGATAACATTACCACGGTCATGGCAGGATCCTTGCGCTACTTAAAAACACTGAATAACATGGTGACGGTTACGCCAGGCGTTAGTCTTGCAACAGATAGGGTCTCAGAAACTGATAGAGCCCATGATGGAAATAACAAAGGGCAATACCAAAGTCAGCTGATTCATAATTTTATTGAGTTCTTATCAAACAAATATTTGGCCACCATATTGAATGATACTAACTGCATTTAGAGTCATCCAGCTGTGGAACAGTGAGTTTGGCTTACTCGAGTCTCTAGCTCTACTTGGCTAGAGGGGATTTCATTTGGAATACTGTGAACTCTATTTGAAAAAAGCTGGCCGTGATGTCATAAATTTATTGAATATTTTAAAAATCTCCAGATAAATAAATCATTAATCAAACCGGACCCAGCTCGGCTCCTTGATGAGATTAGGTGCATTCATGCACCCTCTGGGTCTCTGAGGATCGTGTTGGCCCCAGCCTCTAATGCAAGTCCTTACGACAATCCAACGCATTAGAGGCGGTGTTCACCGTCTATGATGAGATATGACATGATTTCATCAGAATTTCGTCTAAAATTAAAACAAAATGGCTCCAAGAAAAATGGCGATGTTCGAAAACTGGACGAAATGTCGTTAACGCCTGACATTAGTAACTGGCTGTAAATTTTAAGTTAGCAATCCAGAAGATGTGAACTAATACACTGATCACTTTATGTGTGTTTTGGAATTTTTGGTGAGGTAATAAGACCAAAACTCACAATTCAAATTGTGATATGGAAAAATGGCGGACATATGATTTCAAATTTTATGATGACGACATTACATGACCAGTTGTTCATGCAGGAATATATCTGTACTGGAAGGCCACGATACAGTGGCCTAAGAAGGTAAAGTTTGGCTATCATATGTGTGGCCTCTTATATTTTGATGTTAGGCCATGAATGAATGTTTCTATTTTTTCATATACTGTTGCATTATGGTCATTTGATTATCTTTACTCAATAGAATTTTTAATTGGACTATAGCACTGTTCCACAACTGGATGACTCTAACTGCAGTTAGCTTCATTCAAGATGGTTGCCGAGATTCTTTCGTTTTCGATAAACCTCCGATTTCAGCTAAACTAAGTTGAATCTTGATTCCAAAAGTTTCGCCATGCAAATTAATAAAACTATGATTGTATTCAACCACAAATGAATGCTCTAACACCCATAATATTAGAGAATTTTAAAGAAAACGACTTCACTTAGAATGACTCTAACTGAAGTTGATGATCTACGCCATCATGACGTCATCATCAACTTCAGTTAGAGTCATTCTAAGTGAAGCCGTTTTCTTTAAAATTCTCCAATATCGCGGTTGTTTGAGCATTTATTTGTGGTTATTTACCATCGTAGCTTTATTAATTTGCATGGCGAAACATTTGGAATCCAGATTCAACTTATTTTAGCCGAAATCGGAGGTTTATCGAAAACGAAATGATCTCGGCAACCATCTTGAATGAAGCTAACTGCAGTTAGAGTCATCCAGTTGTGGAACAGTGTATAGAGTCTGAAAAAACATTGGATTGGATTGTAAAACTGAAAGCCATAGTACAGTGTAGTATTCCAGTTCCAGGTGACCATGGTGTTCCGCTTCCGTATCAGTTCTCAGTCTAATTGAAAGCCAATGGTCAAGAACTTTATCAATAGAAACACTAACAATAATGTGTATCTTCGAAGTATCTTCTGTCTTCTTCGAAATTCTATCAGCTATTGTATCAAAACCATCTTACTTGTGACCTCAAATGACCTTTGAATTACCCTGAGCGCAGAGGTTAGCTAAAAGTAATGAAAACTTCAAAAGTGCGAACAAAGCTTCAGTTATACATGTACGTACAGTATTGAATAATTGACCAACAACTGATCCAAATCAGAGAGTTTTGAATTCAGTACCTTTTGAAGAATTTTCACTAAGAAGATCGTTATTTTATATAGCTTATATATGACCTTTTCAGAGCGGCCATCCATGACCTCAATAATGTTGACCTTTTACAATCTCAGATTTGAATAAGGTCCAATTGCTTACTTTTGATTCCAGAGAGTCACTGGTGAAGTCTACAGTGTCAATCCACAACTAAAGGCAATTTTGGACAAACTTGAAATCAAATATCAAGAAATAGAACTAGACGTAGAGCTAGACAATCAACAAGAAGAAACTAAATGTTCATGTTATGTGATTAACAATTTTAAACAGGAGCTGATGGAACTTGATCTACTGGAGAGCTACATCGATGTTGAACTACGATTTGTCAGACTTCAGGATAGGGAACCCAATGACTTTTATGATTATATAACTGATGTTCGCAATTTACCTTAAACTAAAATTTCCAACTGGAGATTTGTAGTAATGTTTCCCTCATAATGACATGAATGAGTGCCCATGCATAGTTTTTAGACGACCCTTCGAAATTAGAGCGCTACAAGATGTTATCTGAGAGTCTGGAGCCATCAATAAAGCAGATAAAAGAATATCTGGTGTGCATTAATAGTGGACAGCAATTAGCAAATTGATTTTAATGCCTCCTTAAATGCTCTACAAAGGTTGTGTTATAACACATTTATGCACTAACTAATAAATTATTCTATTTAACCGAAAATTAGGAATTGAGCTTTGATAGTATTTTGTGATTGTCATAAAAAGTTAACATCACATGAATATTTATAATGACTAAATGTTTATTTATATGTGGGTATTGGTAGTATTGTTTTATATTAAAAGAAACTCAAAAAACTATTTTGCACCTTCTTCATGGTGTTTATCAAATTATTTAGTACATTTACTAATATAGTAGTAATATAGGAAATATACATAGAACCTGAACTGCATAAATAATTAATCCTTTTGTTTTTTTAATTTTTTATTATAATATTCGATTAAATTGGACTAAAAGGATAACACATTCTCTCATTCACTCCTTTCCTTTATGCAAAAGATAAGCAAAAAATGTCATTAAGTCATCAGTTTTGTCATGGGGTTTCTCTTGAAAGTCCATGGTTTTGTGAAGTGTTTGATGAATTGAATAATGAACATACCCTGTTTTTTATGTCAATTACAGCTGCAAAGGTAAACTAAAGGCCCTCTCTATCAGTTTAGTCAATCTGGAAAACTTTGACAAGATATGGAACACTATTGTCTCTGGAATACCATGAATATCACAGACAAGTAGTTACTGTATCATTCACGAAACCTTCTTGTTGGCAGGCACCTACAGATTCTTAAGCGAGAAAATACATTTTACTTTACAGAATGTCCTTGGAGAAATTTACGAAGTTGACTCAAAGATGGCAGCATTTCTGGATGAATTTGAGGATTGTCCAAAGTGGTACCAACGTGACCCCATTACTGTTGAACTTTTAAATGAACCTGATAACTCAGTCAGTATCAAAGATCAAGCCATGGAGGTAGAATCTGAAGTAAATAAAATAACAGGAACATCCACCCAAGAATGCATAGTGTATAAACTAAAGGCTTTCAAGGATGAACTTTCAAAGTTACCCACCATCATGGATTATGATGGTTTCAAAGAACCTGTTTATGATAGTAAGGCAGACAATGAAATACCATATGGTATATACAACAATTATGATCCTATTGGTGATACAGTAGATTCTGAAAAATTGAAGAAGTTGGGGATTGTATAAGAGGAGGAAATACTCCATAATTCATAGATGAACATATTTCTATGACCTAACCTCGAGAGGTTCATTTTGATTTGGAGATCTGTTCATCTTTGAAATCTGGAGTGTTCCCCTCCTCTTGGACTGTATGAAAAAAGTATGACAGCAAATGATGAAGAGTGCAAAATTGTGGAAGCATTCTTTGATTTTAAAGCAACTTTCATAATTTTTCAAAGTATACAATAAATCAGATTATAAATGGTCCATTTTGTATTTATGATTCCAAATGGAGCTATATACACAGAGATACATGTATATACAGACTATATTCATAAGATTTCTTAACCCTCGATTATCTGTTGCTGAATGTTTTGAAGTATTTAAAAATTGTATTAAACAAGAACTTTAAAGGGCCACTGACTTTAATGTAATATATTAAAGTATTAATAACGCATAGACATTAGAAGTAGCAAATAGAGTTCACTTTATACAGCAGATAAATAAAATATAATATTATTTATATGTGAACAATTATAATCACATTTGTCCATCCTTCAAAGATCGAGCATCACTGTCCAAGTCCAAGGTCATGGAATAAACTGAAATACCATTGGATCAAGGAGGGTATTTGTCAGATTCAGATAGGATTTCTAGTTTAAATTCTTAACAACAGTTGTATACTATTAAAATTTTCACATTCCATTAATTTAGTGAAGTTGATTGAATTCCATTATCTCCACAAATAAGTTTTACTGACATCCACTTCTTCAAAACTATTTCCATTCATGTATACAATATTTTTAACTTGATAGAAAATTGGTGTGACAAAAAACGCTTGAGCAAATTGTAAAACTTGTAAACCTTACTCCATTGTCCTTTGTTGCCTCTTTAATTGTTGTTTATTTTAGCAGCATACTTTGTATATTATTTAGACCTCAGTTATACCTTTTACTTCAATTTTTGAGCCCTTTGGCCTGCATGTTTATATACTTTACATGTATTAGTTTTTCAGAACTATATACAGTTTGAAGTACGATATTACATATGTATGTTAAAACTACATGTACTCTACAGTAACAGGGACCATTGTCACAACAAAATGGAGCAAGCAGATATTAGTAGAGAAATCTTAGAACATTTTCTGTGATTTTTGGTTTGAACATACACCGATACTTCAATGCATTTACCTCAAAGACAATCAAAACTGTGATAAATGCAAGATGAGCAATCAACAGGGTAAAAAAAACTTTCAGTTATAATACAAATTGATTACTTTAAATTGTTTATGAAATATTATGATTTTATTTTGGTCATGTATGAATAGATTACTGCATAACATGCATATACAGCATTGACTGTCATTGTATAGTTTATTTTACTAAAGGTTGATAAGCCCAAGTGGGTTGGGTTGTATTTTTATAACAATTTTCTTTCATATTGTATTAATTTTATTGTAACTATTTACCACTGCAATGAAATAAAATAAAATTGAACTAAATTTTCTATTAGCTGTCAATTTTTTAAATTTTAGAATGACCTAAGGAATAAGAAATGTCCAAAATTAGAATTTAAAAAGGAGATATCCATTTTTTCAAAACTTTAAAAGAATACAAGCCATGCCTGAAAAGGAATGCTATGAGCAAAATATTTGTAGAATTCTGAAAATTTTCAATCAGTTACCCCCAGCCCCATCCATCCCTAGGCTTGTTGCCATCCTTAGTTTCTCCTTTTAAGCACTTTATTAACTTCAGTTCATTTTGAAAGATGGCTCTGCTACCTGGAATAATGTGGTGAATCCCATCAAAACATCATTTATCTTTTGACAAAGATGCCATCTTTATAACATATAACCAGGATTGAGAATAAAAACAACCCTTCATGTCACTCTCTTTACTCTCTTTATACTCATCTCCCAATCTTGAAAACGACAGACCTTTGGAAATCCAAAATGCTCTTATGATCAAAGCTAATCTGGGTCTTTTAGTTTGATGTGTTCTGATTACGATGTTTTTAATTCATATTCCTTTCCTTATTCCTTTTTTTAAACATTTTTAAAAGCTTTTAGAAGGCTTTTTGAGCATGCCAAAGTACCTTTTACTTCCAATGAGGAGGGGGACTTGGTCGCACATATTAGCTGTTAAAATATATTGTATTTGTAACATCTCTCTGATATGAAAGAAGGAATACACTGGTTTAACAGTATGTCTAGCACTAAGATAATATGCAATAATAATTTTAGCTTTGAGAGTCGTTTTGTATGGATTTTTCAGTATGGGTGCAAGTATGGCTGGGTGCAAGTATGGGTCATGGATATCATGTCACTCAGATTTAATTTTAAATAAAAAGGAAATCAAAAAATGAGTAGTTTTAAGATGGATCAATCTTTTAGTTTAGAATCATCATCACTAAAAGAAAAGCTCTTGAATATGTTGGATAATCTCATTAACAACTTTTATTCAACTTTATTTGTTCATTCCCATTTGTATCAGAATATATAGAAATCATAATTCTATGGAATGTTTGTCAAGTGGTTAAGTGGCTGGATCTCATGTATGCAGTTTCAATAAATGCTTGTGTGTGGGATGACATGTATGTACAGATATTCATTGATTTGTAGACACAATTATTGTCCTATCCTGGTTTATTTTATGTTACACCATCATAATACATGTATGCTGATATATTGAATGTATTTTGATATGTATATTGATATTTTGAAATACCCCTCCTACTTTTATTTGAGATGGAACATTTTAGATGCTCCAAAAATATGTTTGTTAAATGATTGGTGACAATCTTTCCCCCCATATTTTTCAGTTGAAACACCCCCTTTAGTGTTTAGTGACAACATGAAAACTACCTCAATGAAATAGAACATATTGTAAGTCTAATTCTCATAAAAAGACTTTTGAATCAAAAAGTAACTGAGCAAAAATTTATATGTCAGGATTTTGTTTTAAAAGATAAAAAATCCATACTGTTTTCTTCGAGTCCAAATTTTTTACAAAGAAAACTCTCAATTTCTCTTTATTTGGTACTCAAAATGCAGTCAAAATATATTTTAACTACATGTATAATTAAGCAATGTGTTTATTTTTACCACATTTATTTTCGAATTTAAATTTTTAATAAACAAAATACATCCAAAGCCAATACAGCAGCAGCATAATATATATACAGAATTATATTCATCATAATGCATATTAAAGTGGCAACAAAGAATTCTGTTTAAGGTGTAAATGTTGGAAACAATCCTCTCCTAGCATACTAATTTTGTTAGCTGAAAATGTTATTATCTGAAAAGGAATTGGCTTGTTCGATCATATAGGGAAATTATTGAGTATTTAAAAATGGAGAAATATCCAAAGTAATTAGAACTGCCATATAATTAAATCAGAGGATTTTTTAAGCTTTGATATTTCTCGAAAAGAATGTTTGTACCAAAGTCTTTTGATTGTGAAGTTTTGTTTTTAGGAAAAGAATTATTATAGAAACTGCCCTTTAAGAAAATATATCATTTGATCCTAAAATAATGATATGATGTATATCAAGGGGCGCTTATCTGTCATTAGTAACATGATATTCGCCAGAAATAATGAATGTCATTACCAGGGCATAAATTTTTTTTTCTATAAATCTTGAACGACATGAATGCCTGATCAATCCCCGGGATCAATCATCTAATTTTCAATCTCATTATGAAAACCAGTTCATGCCTTGGAAATGCCTTGTTTAGACAAAATGACCAAATTCGTTCCAGAGTACATTCAAAACAAATACAGTATGAACCCAGGAATGGTTACAATACTGTCATTCATATGGAGCCACATTGTACACATCCCTGATCCCTATGTTAATATTAATACAACCAACAAGTACCATGTTTTATCAAGTTTTATCGCCTAGGTGCATATGCCTTAATCTTATCACTAGGCTAATTTTGCATTATCTCTCTTTGCACAAGGTAATCATTGGGGGAAATATAAGGCATAGTTCAAGCACATGTTCAGTATTGCAGCCGACAAAGCCACAGATGAACAACTGAAGGATCTACTTGAC